AGCTGTTGTTGCCTTTTGGTTAGTTGCCTCTCTAGGTATTAGTGGATTGTGATTTCTGTAGGCCTTCTGATGGCATTTTTAAAGTTGACATTTTGTTAGTTAAATTGCGACCGATGGCACGATCGTGCAATCAAAAATTTTTGCTGGCACATGTTTAGAAATGGCAGGTTAGTGCATAGTTTGCAGGATCGATCGCAGGATCGTGCGTGGAAAAAAAAATCTTTCGAAAGAGTGGCAGGTTGCTGCAGGATCGTGCTTGGCAAGATCGATCGCAGGATCGGTCGCAGGATCGCCATGTAACAAAATTAAGTTCATTGTGTGGAGAACGTAATGAATGTTTGTGTCTAATGGAAAAATTCCCTATGAATCTTTTTTCATACGTGACCAAACTGGGGGAATACTTTCCTATTTTGCTCTACTTCAGTCCGCTAAGTCTGTCTACGTCTTTTAGTGCCGATACTGTGATCGGCTAGAAGTAGTCCCTAACTAATATGTTAGGTGGATGGAACTGCTTTTTGTTTTTAGCAAATAAAGCGCTGTATTGAATTGATTTGATTAAATTTTGCAAGCCTATTTATACTAAAATTAAGAAAATACATTATGCTAGCGTAAGCATAAAATAATATTATAATTGTGACGGTTTATTTTAATTATGGCGCTTAGCGCCGTATTGCATTACGAAAACCAACTCTCAGCCAGTGTAACATAATTCTTCTTTTGTTTTTGCAAATAATTTAATTCCGTCACACTTCAAAGTGTATGCATAACAACTATATGCGATCACTCTACAATAGTTTATATGGGCTTGATCGAGTTTTCTACACACGAAATATGTTACGCTTCGTCTTCAGAGTTCTTTTGCATTAAATTATCCCCTATATCATTTCTGCTTCCATCGCAATAGATAGAAAGTGGTTTTGGAAAGTCAGGACAGTGTAGATAGGCGCAGTCCTCAATATTGCTTTTATCTCATTAAATACTTTGATGCCAACTTCGGGTTATTCCAAGTTACGATTTATTCTTGAATACGTTGAAGATTGGTGCGAAATTTTTACCAAACTTTCGTATTATAATGTCATCGCCAAAAAGTGGTTTAGCTCAACGGGGAATAGGAAAACTTAAAATAGCAGCCCCAATGAAATGGCCTAAATGGCGAACTTCACGTACACAAAATATGTTCTTTTCGACATCAGTAGTGGCTCTGATTAGGTTAGCTTCAAAAAGTAGCGCTACAACGTGGCTTTTAAAAAAACTTAAAACTACCAAGAAACCATCGACATAAACGAAGATATCCGTTTTAAGGGCCGGAGGTATCACTTTGTCCATTAAGCGACACATTATCTGCAGTGCATTACACAGTGACTTTAAAATTGTGCGAAGGCATCAGCGGAATAGAAAGAGTGAGGAACAGATTCTTTTGAGACAGCATCCGAAGAAATCTGCCAAAAGACATCTTCCAAACCAGAAGAAGATATGATTTGAGTTCCAGGCAATCTACTAATAAAGCCGTCAATACGCGCCAAGCGGTAAGCCAATGAATGCTTTACGAATGCAAAGTGGTTGGGCTGCATTCTTTTTTCAGAGCAGATTACCGTTCACACAAGTTGTTTGACAAGCGTAAAGTTTACTATAACCATAGCAATGCAAAGTCGTTTCAGACAAGCAAACTTGATAGCAGCGGCCTGATGTTGAGAATTCCAGTAGGAATGCGACCCGTCAGATGTTTCTTCGACATCACTTTCCTTATCATTGCAAGTCTTCAGTATGGCTTCAAAAGCAATTCTAAGCGCTTGATGCGAGAATGCTTGTTTACATTTAACATCTTGGGTAACATGTCATGTATACGGTGAGATATCGCACTTTTTGCTCCCTGTTGTGTAATAGAAAAACTATATATGTTAAAAAGGTCAAAGAGATCGGAGCCTGCAAACGGATGGACGCACGCGTCTTTAATAAACTAGTTAATTCACGGATTTCCAAGGTGTTATTGCAGCTGTTTTTAATAATGATGTTATTATTGTAGTTGTTACAGATTTTTCTGTTATCGCTGATGCTGTTATCTTTTTTATTGTCTTTGTTGTTATTGTGGTTGCTGCTGATATGCGTGGAAGTATAAAAATGCTGGTAAATACGAACTTAGCAGGAAAACGTAAGTGCTTACGAGACTTTCGTGTAAGTTTTACCATGTTTGCTCATAGTTTTCAGCTTATTTTCCTTACTTTTTTATTTTTGTATTGAGTTGTTGCATTTCAAAATTCCAGCTCAATGCAAACACTCTTTACACTTCACTGCTCATTTTATGGGTTTGTATTAAAGGCAATTATTCTTTTAATCTCTTCTCATTCCATTGTACACATCAATACACGTTCTTCAGACGGGCGGTTTATTTAATTGAAAGATATGCCGTTTAAAAGGTTGCGATTAGAAGAAAGGAGGTGCAAAAAAATGCCTCCGGCGAACCAAATTTTTTATATCAACTCAGAGATCGAATCACTATTACACAACACGTTTTGAAAATTGCAATATTGGTGGTCGAAAAGCCGGAGCGATCGAAACCATTTTCGCCCAGCAAAATAAAATTGATTGCGTGTATTTCAATATATATAACCACATGTGACTAATGGAATTTAATTTTTTTAACTTAAATTTTTGCAAACTTTTAAAATTTATACGTACTTCAAATTCAACAAGAAAAACACTGATGTGCTTATGAAAGGAAAACTAAATCATAAGGTTCTTGTCTCATGCGCAATACGAGTGGCCATTTACATTTCTATAAAAAAAATGTGAAAGGTAAACTCAAGTATGTTACTACTTATTTACATAAGGTGGATTTATATAAAATAGATACAAATAAAGTTCATTCATTAAAGAAAACAATGAAAGAGCAGTTGTATACAAATTGGCGGATATAGCGGGAAGAAAAACCGAAAGGAAAGAGAACGGGAACTAATTCCAAATATTTTTAGGGTCAATCATTAACCAGTTGTACTTTTCAAGCAGGAGAATGAAGAACATGTTAAAAAATAGGGTATCATATATGTACGTCTACATATAAAACATAAAATGGATGTAACGGATACTGTTTATAACTTTCCTTTCTGTCTACAGAGAACTATTAACTGCATTAAATTTTAGAGAAACTTGAAAGTGCCGCCATAGGAGAATTGAAGGCTTATGAGACCGAAGTACGTGCCTTTTCCGAGCTAGCTAGTTCGTGAGATGCAGGTGGGTTTCTATATCTTTGACTTACTGACACTCCATAGTTACAAGTAAAAGAACAATGCGTACGTATCTTTTAACGAACGGATGCACGTAATCTAACCTGCCGAACGGGCATCCATGTGTCCCTCAGCATTGTCTATTGCGTGTTTCGACCCACGATGTCTATGGGAGATCCCGAAATTGGGTCCTAAAACCCCTTTAAATCTACCTTCCTCTCATAACGAAGAATTTCATTACTCGACATTTTTTTTTTTTAATTTCTCATTAAGGAAATCAGCATTAAATAGCAAATTAAATTAAATTAATTATACATCAATTTTCTCTTAATATAGATGGCCATCACTTATATATTCTGTGCTTGGGTTATATTTAATTTATATTTCCAATAGAATTCATGCAATACAATATTTAATTCATACAAAAAAGTGAACAAAATCGTTTAATTAAAATGTATATACAGGCTACGTTAACAGCATTCTTGTCTGCCGATTAAAATAATGTACATTTTACATGAAAATAAAATACAATATTTCTCGTTGCAGGCAGACATTTCAAGTTTCTGCTTCAAAAAAATTAATATCGTTAACTTTTGTTTTTTTTTCTTACAGCACATCGAAAAAGTTTTCATAAAGTTTTGATGACGAAGCAATATATGACGTTATTGTCCTTAATCGATTACTCCTTTTTTGTTTATTTCACAATTCAATTATTGCATGCTTCTTCTTGCGATAATTATTCGGGTGATATAATGTAATAAAATGGGTAATAATAATGTAATTTCTTTAAGAAAAAAAAATGTTCTAAATAGTCTTGGACTTTTCTTTTTTCTCTCTCAACTTCTTGAACCTTTATCAACCATTTTTAAAATTTTCTTTACTTTATTTAATTAATGTCTCTTCTAAAGATATCTCTTATTCCATGTAATTTTTTTTCTTTCCTTTACTCCAATAGTGTTTACTTTGCCAAGTTGTTGCCTTTCTGTTATGTTTTTTATCAACCGTTTTCTATTTTTTCATTAGAAAACATTTTTCTGCTAAAACTTTCCGTAACACTTTTCCTATTTAACCATAATTTTATACATTATTCATTTATTGATATATAAAATACTTTTTTCTTCTTGTTTAATAAGAAGAAAATATCACTTATCGATGATAAAAATTCTACTTCGAAGAAAAGCTCAGCCATTCCTCTTCCTGACAGATATCAAAACTATCAAACTCTGAATGTACTTTTCTTTCAATCAAATCTTATTTCTTCTTTTTTCGTAACGTTTTATCCCCCACAAGAATCCTACAAACCCTAAGTTTTTCGATCGTTGCCAAAATCCCATAAAAATTGCCTCAATACATCCCGGCATTAAACTTTTTCTCCTGCGAGAACTTAACAAGCCTGTCAACGCGTGGTTGCAATCTTTTTTAAGAAAAAAGACATTAAACAAGATTGCTAAGCTAAAACCTTCTGATACATGAATTAGAAACGTAAACTGAAATATTAAAACTTTTCCGTTGCACACGAATAATATATTTTGCTTTTCCATTAAAAATGAATACTGTATTTTGTTGTTGTATTACAAATGAAAAAGTTCATTTTTTTATTTCATTTCTTTCATTTGACATTTAATTTTATTTATAAGGATTCAAAGTTTATGTTAAAGCTAAATAATTAAATTGGCGTTTGGTTTAAATTTTCAAAATATCGTGAAGATGAAAGACCCTTCTGCTGATGTCATTTCCTGCAACCTTGTTGCTTTGCGTAGCGGGCTTGTATTCTTTCTCCATAATACGCCTTTCACCGCATCATTTGGTGCAGAATAAACGTATTGCTATAAAATTCGCTTTCCTAATATACAGTCCGTACCACTGGACCGTGGATATTTTGTTCAAGAGAAATACACTTCAAAGTTCTTTTATTTACAGTTACATTCCTTAAATATAGGATTATTCACAATTTAAATCTGGCAGTACTTTCAACTGCTCAACTTAAATATTCTTTTTCTACTAACTCTCTCTTCCACAAATATTCTAATTATATACATTTTTACAACTACATTACTAGTACCTAATTTTATACCTTCATTTCTAATTCGTTCTGGTACTCGTTTTCTTCGGCCGACACCTGCATGACGCGGTGCGAATGTGCATTTTGTTTTTCTCTCTTTACAGATTTTATTACTTAGCTGGAATGAACAGGATTTGGGATTTCCGTTACAATATTCTGGTGAACAGCCATTTCCACAAAATTATGTAGCGCATCACGCTCTGAAACTATTCTCAAGCCTTCGTACCCAAGTAAATCATCGTTATCCATCTTCTTTCCCTCCTCCTTTTCGTACAAACCTAAATGCACGTGATATTGAAGGTTACTAATTATCTAGAAATGTTAAATTATTAATGGTTCTGTGAACTTACCAGGAATATATAGTTATCTGTTTCCTAAACATCACTTTTAAAGAAGTTTCTCATTTTATTAATTTTGCTTATTTTAATAGACGTTGATGTAAACTAGCCACGTGGTTTTACGTCAGTAACAGTTTATAAAAGTCACAAATTGAAGTTTCAAAAAGAATATATATAAGGCTAAACAAAAATAAATATATTCGCACAATGAAGGTAAGTTATTAATGCATAATTTTAATATAACAATCATACATGTTACATAATTTACTCTAATTCTTTTTCCTCCTCTTTGGATGTCGTTTGGATTGTTGATAGTTTGGTCCACAGAACCAGTTAATTCTGAATCCATTTCAACATTAATTTCTCTTCCGGTAAGAGTTTTTTATTCTTCTGACTTGCTCAGAGTCAAAGCGTTAAGAGTTCCATTTGCAATACTATTCAATCGCAAAAGATACCTAAAAAGATAGCTAAATTAAAAACAGCGATAGATTTGCTTGATTGTAACTTCGTAAGAATCTGTATCTTGTATTCATAATTGTTTTGCTTCTATACAATTTTTGGTCTTGATAATATTTACAGTTAGTCTTATTGTATATCTAATTTTGTTTATTTTGTTGTTTTTGTTTGATAGCGAAAATCGCTATCTCGTATATTAACTAGGTAATTAAGGCTGTTGGTAAGAAGATACTGTTTCGATTGTACGAGTTGTTTGTGGACACTGGACACTTTGATGTGTGCCATTAAATTTTGTTTATTATTTTCTTTTTATTTCGAAATTTCACTTGTTATGCACTTTGTACCAATGGGCGTGCACTCCACATTAATCACATTTTAGTCTGCAGTGATACAATCGATAGCAAAACCATGCAAAAGTAAACAAAATTATGTAAAGTTTTTGATAAAATGAAATGAGGTGAAATAACTTTGAACTTTGAGTATATATCGCTTTATTTTTATTTTATATGACATATTCATACATTAACATATGATTTTCCTATAGAGGATGTATGGCGTTTTCGAATGAATTGCAAAGCAATTCGGGTTTTGTACTATATAAGAAAAACAACTTTTTAAATTTTCACAAATGAATTAAGCTACTTACCTTTTAAAAATTTAAGGTTTTTGTTTTGGTTCAGCTGTTTTTAAGAAAACACTTTATTCGGAATTTACTTTATTTTTTATAGACAGCAGTTTTCTTTTATAAATGCAACTCTAAACAACCAAACTAACGCAAAGAGAAGGACAAAAATTACACAAAAATAGTGTTGCCGCAATGCATCAGCACTTATTTTCAGAATTTGGGGAATTATTTCCAATTATCTGTGGATATAAACAAACTTTTAAACAAGCATGGTTACTGCTTTAAAACTTTTTCCAATAAATTAGTTTTAAAAGTTTACAGAAATTCGATATCGCGTTATTGCCAACCATAAAAAAATGTAAACAGCTGTTTGTAAATTCTCTCGTGCCAATTATAATTACAATTATTATCAAGCAAGAACGCATTGATTTACAAAAAAAAAGCTATGAAAATGATCGTGCAGCGCGTCACTGCAGCCAAAGTAACCGGTATGTTCTATATTATTGTAAATACATTTTTCATACAATTTTAATATATTTTGCAAAGGTTTGTTTCAGTTGGTGACGAAGTTATTAGTTCTATCGGGCGTGGCCTATGTGTATTAATTGGTATAACTCACACGGACGGCGGCAAGGATGTGGAGTACCTGTAAGTATAATAATTCAAACTGTTCTTGAACGTGTATTTAGTGCATTTGAACTTCAGTTCCCGTAAGCTGTTAGCATTACGTTTATTTGAAGATGAAAACGGTAAACGTTGGCAGAAGAGCGTAAAGGATGAGAAACTTGAAATACTTTGTATATCACAGTTCACTTTATACCATCGGTTAAAAGGTAATAAACCGGACTTTCATATGGCAATGCAGGGTGAACAAGCCCAAATACTATATCAAAGTTTCCTGAAACGTCTGGCTAATGAATATGATCAAGTTAAAGTTAAAGGCTAGTATTTAAGTAGTATATTTTGAAAACTAAAGTATTTGAATTTTACATGTGTAGACGGTGTTTTTGGTGCTTATATGCAAGTCCATATACAAAATGATGGCCCTGTTACAGTGGAATTAGATTCACAACAGTTGGATAATAAAACAAAGTCGAAAGTTGAGGTTAACCAAGATGAAATTGTTATTGAAAACGTAGAAAAATAAATGTCGAATATTAAGAGAGAAATACGTTTTTTAGTGGAATGGGAAATCACCTGAAATGAGTGTCGTCTCTTCAATTTTGTAATTTTTATTTAGGGTTTTTACGCGCCACTTCATCTCAACCTCAAAGACCTCAAAAGATAAAAAAAGAGTCGCAATCCGATTTACACCGGTGATTGCTGAGAAATGGAAAAAATCTACAAGAATTTATTTACATTGCTAAACAGTTCGTTGTACACGCTACAAACAAATTGCAAAAATTGTATGCACTCATAGGCTTTGTTTCAGTAAGAAGTTGCCCTCCTAACTTCCATTATAACATCTACTAAAAGAATATACTGATCTTAAAATGAAACAAATTTGGTTTTTTCTCTAAATTTTTATTTGTAAGAAATTTATTAAACAAAAATTAATTATTGTTTAAAAAATATTTTACATAAGTGAATTTTTGTTTTTAAATTTTTTGAGTGTCTAATAAATGATGTATTGGTGTCTTTAGGGTTTATAAATGTCATCAAATATTTTATTATTCAATTAAATTCTGTACGTGGGAGGATTTTTAAGAAAAATATCGTTTTATAAATTATAAGTTGAAAATATTATATCAATTTTCACAAATCTTAAAAAAGCTATAAGAAAAATACATAAAAGGCAAACTTATGAATCAATTATATTATTATTATATGTATGAATGTTAAAAAAAAGTTCGTGTATAGATACGCATGTTTGATGTACCATATAAATATGTATATATTCTTAATAATAAAAGAAAAAAGGATTTTAATGAAGACACAATTTGAAAAAAATATTAATGAAATTTATAATAATAATATTTCATATTAATTAGTGTTTACAGACTTTGATGTTTAGATGAATGGTATATAGTGTACTTATGTGAATGAACGCTTGTTATAGTAATATATGCTGATTCTGGTGAGAAATTGTAATTAGTTTTGGTACAAAGCTTTTATCAATATTAATTCGAAAGGAATCACGTAGTTTGGTCTGCATTTATATTGAGCAAATCGTACAAACAATTCCAGATTCTTCAGTTCAGTCGCTTACAAGAGAGAAAACAAACAGATGAACACTTCATCAATTATTAAAATATATAGAAAAAAGTCAAGACTGTTTTCTTTAAAATTTTTTAGGCAACTGCTAATTAATTATATTAACGTGGTTTGCTAATCTCGTTCTTTACTGATAAAATTTGGTTTAGTCCATTTTTAAACATAAGCAGCAAGAGTTATTAATTTTTCCAATAGCCGTACAATTTGAGAGTTAAAAACAATTCAATGTTAATAGTATGGTGCCTTTTCTATATATTTTATCAAGTTTTCTTTTTTCATGTTTTTTTTTTTTTATTTTAAAGATGAGCGAAAGAATGTGGTTAAAAGGGAGGTAAATGTATTTCCAATGGTTATGTTATAATTTCAAATATAAGGTTAGATTATAATTTTCGTTTATTTATGGTTTGTGACGGTTTGTGTCTTAGCTTAGAGGTTAATATTTTTGTTTTAGTGTTATCAACGTTTCATGAATTTCCTTTTTTATGTTAATATTTAGTTTCTCAGTGTTTTTCACACTATTTCCGTAGTTCTGTACTTATTGCTTCTTCTTTTACAATCTTTCTCTGCTTCGATATCAGTATTTCTTGTTGTTTTCGTATGTCTTTGCGTCGTTTTTATTTGATGATGGATGATAATTCTTCGCTAACAGAGAGAATGGATTGATTGTTTACCACAGACCCGAAGAATAACCGCCGGGCGGTATGCGATTCTTGTTAATGATCTGATTGGCACCATTCATGCTGGGTGTATGATTATTAAAATCATTCGGTTTGTAGCCCTCGCCAGTAACAGGGTTTCCATCTGAATGAAAGAGAGGAAAACAAATTTTAATTTTAAAATTAATAGGTTAGGTTACGTACACCCACACACACACAATAGGAATCTAAAAGATAAAAATCTTCATTAAGGTCTTTTAAGCAGAGTTTTTTAACTGCTTATAAGCAATTACCTTACTTCCTTAAATCTAACAACATAATTACTAAGCCAAGTGGTCCTAAGCAAAATCTTTGCGAATCTGCGCAAAATATTAAAGCTGTTGATAGAAAATGTGGAAGACCATTATTAAGCATTATTTAAACGCTACGGACAAAAGTTTTCGATACTTTGAATGCCCACTTAGCACAAACACTAAAAAAGTTCCCTCGCCTAGAATGAGCAAACCTCTAGAATGCTCATATAAGTTACTGGAGCTAGAGGGAAGAGACTTTAAAACTAGTTTCTTTCTACCCGGGATATAACCCCGGTGAGGGAAGAAAAATGTAGACATCTTCGGGCACCTCTGCGAAGGGACTCAAACACACTAATGTTTGGCCATCCGCAGAAACGGGGATCGGGCGTTCGTCGAATATTTCATAAAATATGATGCTCCAAGTAGAGCAGTTGTGGCATTCGACAGAATAGTTTAGTGGAAAGGCCTTGAGGTAGATCTGTCAGACAGCGGCGCAGAATATCCCTTAACTATAAGGTGTCTAATCGACACAGCAAGAGCTTTCTGTGTGTTGCCCCACTGATCCGTGAAAATAGGCGAAGAAACAACTTATTAAACTCAAGTTTCGTTAATGTCAATTATGTACAAACAATATTTATCACCTCGGCGACTTCTGGGTTTCTTGGGTTTCAAACCACCTACACCGTCATTTCCCAAGCCCAAACCTGTAATGGGATTTCGTGGTGTTGGCGCTTTAGATGGTTTGTCTACACAAGGTTCAAGAGGTTCTTGACGATTTTGAGAATCGGGAGCAACACTATATGAATGAGGATTTTCTGGATTTGAACCTGTCTCACGGCGTGTCTGGCTTCCTTCATTTAATGCCCCGGTATCTGCGTGGTTTTCAGATATTTTCGAACGCAACGAATCCATGGCTTTTTTTTCTTCACAATTAATTTCAATATTACTTGCTTCAGATTTTTCGGTGCGTGGCGAGGATGGAGTTGACATTGGCGTCGGACACATTTCATCAGTCTCTGCAGAAGGGTGCAATAATGTATTATAGGATGTACTTTTGAATTTTTTTAGGGTGTGCAACGTTGCTTGGGATTTTACTTACTACTCATTTTGCTTATCTTTGTTTTTGGTATCGTTCGGGAAATTTGTAGCGTTTAAAAAATTGCAAAACCGTAAAATAAGTCAAAATTTTAAAATATATGTTAAACGCAATCAAAGGCGAAAAAAATATATATTTATAAAGCTTCAAAAAGATGAAAGTTCTCAAAGATTAGATCAAGTTTTTTATTTTATATTTTTGGTGCTATTTCCTCAGAGATGTTTTGATAATGAGACAAATTGTTTGAAAATAATATTTGAAGTCAAATGGGAAGGTGCTATGATTTTTGTAGAAAACGTGCATGTGACAGGCATGCAAGGTAAAAAACTTATATGTGTAAGTAAAAGTATTAATTAAAGTATTATTAAAGTATTAAGTGTAAGAGTGAAAAAAATTGGGATTTTATTAATTGTGGCGTTTTTCCGTTGACTTCTGCATCTTGGACGTATATAAAGGGTAAGTTGAAAAATCGCAGACCGCTTTTTAAAATTTTAGCTAAGTTCTGCATGTACACACTAAGAGTTTTATTTTTTAGCTTCAGCGTTGTATTGAATTAAGTAAACAGTTTCCTCTTTTATCTTAAATGCATTTTATTAAACGAAAACTGTGCTGTTTTGGTTTCTTTTCGCCAGTTTTCTGGTAAACCCACATATTATACAATCACTATAAAGTTTTGAGATTTCTGGGTGAAAAACTAAACCATCCTTCTTTTCATTGTATATTTGATTCTGTTGCCTTTCGTTTCAGCAATGAAAAACAGATAGAAATTTGGGCTTTTAAAGTTTCACCGTTCATTCCTTTTATATCGAAATATTGAAATTTATGTGCGTATTGATTCCAAATAGTTTTCGAGACGATTTGAAGTTGAGCAATGACCTCATAAGATGAAATTTTGTTGGGTTTATCGAAGATCGATCGACCAGGCCGCTGAGGATCCCTAACGTCAACGTTTCCAACGCGACACTGAGTAAGCATATGTTTATTGTGCACATTTTACTGAAACAGTGTCATGAATTTTCTTAAAATATTATATGGCAAAACGAAGCAAATTATTCAAAAATTTTGCAAATTTTGGTTCATTTTCAAATGGTATATACTTTTGACTAAGTTAACAAACGCTGCAAGGCTTTTTGCTAAATAGTCTATGAACTGTCATACCACACGTCAATATGGAGACTAAAATTGTCTATTGTCCTTTGCACTACATATGACAGATGTACGATTATAAATGCAATTTTCTTTTCGAGCAAAAAGGATAAAAAGTATGCTCTATTGTTAGTTACATATTTTTCAAATCTTTTAAGCAATTTGCGGATTCGTCGGGCCATCCTTGAGTGAACCGAAACACAATTCGGCAAGTACGTGGCAAATAAGTAGTAAACGGAAGTGATCGAGTCTGATGCGTAAGGCGCATGATTTAGCATTTCAGTTCAGTATTTCCAATGCGTCGCGAACTGCTTTTGGTGTCTAGATGCATATGCGGACGTCATATAAAACGTTGATCCCGTGTGGCTTTCTTTCTATTCCACCAAATGCAGAGCACAGTTTTCCTACTTTCCTGCCAATCCGATTCGGTTTTGCGATTCACATAGATGATGCGCATGGGTGTACCGATAAGATTTCAAAATACACCCAGCTTTCACCCTGAGTGGCGGCATGATCCAAAAACGGCCTCCTTTTATAATGTTCGAGCACACAATATTGTCCGCGAATGCTTTTAATTGGCACAACGGTCCAATGCTATTCATTTTTTTAGTGTTCAGACAATTCTTCATAGCGCAGCAAACAGCTATATGTTTCAAATCTTTATCCGACGCATCATTACACCGATGCGACATTTGTTTCTCAAATCCGCATTTCAAATTTTTACAATTGGATATGTGAAAAAAAAGTAAGAACATTATAGTCGGGCACGTTCGACTGTTAATAACTTTACACAGTTTTGTTTAATACAGTTACTCATTCGTTTACGTAATAACACACCAAAAATTACGCATTATTTTCATGCAAATGCACACTTTTCATGAAATCCCGCAGACTTTCGTGAACTACATTCGAAAAGGTTGATTTTTTTTTGTCAATTTACTATTATGAACCAATTTTCACAATGAAATATTAAAAATTTGACCTTTATATTACATGAAGATGCAGTGTTCGTAAGAATGATTATATGAGAGAAGGTTGAAAAAATTGTCGCAGACGCACCAAGATGTTCACACAGTTTAGAATGTCCACGTATTATTACAGAACAAGTTTTGTCAAGAAAATTTTGAAACTTCAATTTTTTTCATACGACTTTTAAAAATAGGGTGCTGCATGGGGAGTAGTCGAAAACAATACAAACCATTTCCAATAGTGTTCGTCCTCGGGCCGGTAATCAGTAGTAAAAATATCTCAAAAATTGCGACCTGCAGATTGAACACAATTTTACATGGACAGACATCACGCGGGCATATAGACAGATAGATCGGCTTAGATTCACAATCACTTTTTCTATTGATCGGAGTATTAAAAGATGGGCCTATTTTAAGCCTTTCTGCGTGTTACATACGTCGGCAAAATAATATATCCTGCACCACAATTGGTATAGTGTATAATAATGGAATACTATGAAGCGTTGGCAAGCCTTGTTTCAGTTTAACAATTACTTGTTTGACGATTTCTTGTTTGATGACGGTTACTTCATAATTTTTTTTTTCAATTGCCGAGTGGCTAAGTTTTTAATTAATATCTGCGCGCGATTAGTGGCTGCTGAACATTTTCCTTCCCAAACCTCATAATACTTCTTCTTCAAAATGAAACGGTATAATAGACAGAGTTAATATAATCGGTTTGTGATTACATATGCACATAAATGCAGATACATATTTACAACATCAATAGAAACGAACTAATGTCATAGTAAGTACCGATGAATTCTATTACTATCAATATTTATTACAGAAGCGTCAAAGGTAGAAAATATTTACCTGTTTTCGAGTGGCCATTCATTTTAAGATTTTCAGTGGACGAAGAAACCGATGAGGATGCCGACGATACCGAACCGCATTTACCATTGTAGTGACCGTTTCCATTGGTGATCAAAGTTTGAGCTGCTTCAGTGCTAGAACCAAATGGAATGTTACTCTTCATGTGATTTTTGGCAGGAGTTACTGGACGTTCGGGTTCGCCAAATAAACGTTGATACGAATCCAAATTCTTTTGACCACGGCGTGGTTGATCACCTGCAATAACGGAAAAGTAGAGGAAGGAAAAAAAAGATTTTTCGGACGTTTTTTGGTTAATCACGGGTAAAAAATTGACTAGGGGCGCACGCGCACATAGGATCGCGTGAGAGCGGTGCAAAAACAAAGAAATTAGTTATAAACATACTTTATAATTAATATTATTTATAATTATGTGTTATAAGTAAATGAAATAAATAAAAAATGCATTTATTTAAGAAAATAAAAATGGAAAATCAAGAAACAAATTTAATATGGAAAATTGTAGAAATAGAAAAATGTATATTGCAGAAAATGTCATGTGATACCATCCCGTGGAGGCCCAAAATTTAAAAAAAAAGCGTGCGCTGAGCCGTGAGAAAATTTTGGATCAACAAATTATGGGGCAATAGGTCTAATATATTAAAAATCCCAGGGGAAAAACCGTTCAAATGTTCTTGAAAATGTTGACGTCCGTAATGAAAGAATACCAATTATTGCGACTGTAATTGCTGACAAATTCTGTTCCTTATGTCTTTTATGATGCAGGAGAAAATAACAAACTGATTAATTGACTCGAAAATCGTAATGCGTCCGTTATCGTGCCCAATGTATGCACATCCCGGCCATTTATCATTAAATTCGGCAACCACGGAACTTCTTTGAACGGTGTCTTCGTCTTAATAACAGGACCGAATGGAAGAACTTTTCAATTACCCGAAAGAGTATTCCTAGTGACAGATCACAGAAGTCTTTTTGGGACGACTTTGTCGTGCCTTTTTTTATAATCATAAACCCATTTAAATTTTTGAAAAGGAAGAAACAGTTAACAAGTTATTGACATTCATCAGCGAAATTTGTAATTCTGGTATGTGCAGGTTACGTAAAGGGTGCTGGTGTTTGCACAAGAACGCGAGTAAACGTTGTTATTAATGTATACGCGTAAACTAAAAAGCCTTTGCTTAAGAAAGTAAATTTGTAAATGTAAAAATAATGAAACTATAATAAACTCTACAATCTCTTTTACTTTTTGAGAGTTAACTGTGAGGGTATATGGGTTGCTTCTGAACATCGTTTAGACGATTGATAGTAGAATCTTGGCCACAAATCACACAATAAACAAAATTTTTATATAAAACAAAGTTATTAAACAAAGTACGGTAAAGGTAGGTTTATATGCATAGCCTTAAGAAAAAAAATCATTTAGCTTTAGAAAACTAGTTAACTGTATGAATGTATATGTGACATATTTTTTATAACCGGCACCGAAATATAATGATATAATAATAATAGTTTCAGAGACTCTATAAAGTGTATAATATTCTTGGTTAGTGTGAAAATCTGAATCGATTAAGCCATATCCGCCCGTCTGTGTGATGTGCACTGCTGATACCGTCCTTGACGCAAAACTCAAGATATCGACTATAAATTTAGTAGAAATATTGGAATTTTCTCCTCCCAGCAAAGAGTTGTAGGTTTTTGTTAATTATTCATAAATTATGAAACGCAGAATGCTTAAATCTTTCACATTTATTTTACGGAAAATTATTTACGTGCAAAAAAGGAAAGAAATGTTTAAAATTATTTTGTACATACCTAAAATGAAGATATATTATCTGCCTCAAATTCTGCTCATTCTAAAATAAATATGGTGGACAGCACTACGTGGTGGATTCATTTTTTCTTAACTGTGCTTTCGATATGGGTATCAAATAAACATGTTTGGAGTGTCGAAAGCGACAAGCTAAGTATATTTATTGTACGTTAACTATGGTGGACGTCACGACGTGCCGGATTAAATTTTCTTAGCAATCCCTTTTAGTGAACTACAAGTTAAAAGTAAATTTTATCCTATTCACTTTTTTATAACTATAAATAAATGCATGGGACGCTAAAGATTTTAATGGTAATGGTTATGGTTATATTCCTACCTGTTTTAAATTTTGAATCGATCACAACAAAACTAAGTCAAGCGTACACTAAAAGGCTGTTAAAAGACCATTTGGTTTTGCATATAAATTCACAGAAATTCTGATAACCATGAGGGGATACTGTATATATAGGTTCGTACATATTACAAGGCAAAAAGTTTGCCAAAGTTAAGGAAACGAAAAAAGAAAAACAAGCAGAGAAAGAATGTAACTCCCAAAAACAAGGCGTTTATGAAGAAAATCATCAACAAAAGAAAAAAAAGAATGTAACAATGCTAGACTATCTCCCCTTGCTGGTGCCTTGTCTGTTAGTTTGTATGGTTATTATTGTCTTTAGGTTTAACCATAACGAATTTCTGCATAAATATTGTGTTAACACAGCACCGATACGATATTACTGCTAACGGGAGCACAAATTGCCTCGAATTTGTATTTACAGTTCATTGTGAAGACCAGCTTAAAAAGATTGAAATCATGCAGATAACATAGTTTAGTAAGGCAGACAAACCTTGCACTGCTGCACCAGTTAACCATCGCCAGCCACGACATTAAGTGCTACGTAGTATAGCAAATCAAATTTTTGTCTTTGTCTTCGAGTGTTGGAATTTTCTTTTTTTAACGAAAAAATTATGTTATCTGGTTAGGTTTGAAATTTTTATGGAAATTTGTGATTTAAATTACAGATCATTAGCGAAATTTTTAAAAATAAATAAAGTAAACGAAAAACGGGTAAGAAAGTTATACTCATTTCAGAAATCTACGACGTCCAGCTTACTTTAAAGTCAACATATAGCAATGGGTAAAGTTTTTCTATTTAATTTCGGCGTGCTGAGTTTGTCGAATAGTCTTCACTTTCGTTAAAACTTTCTTCTTTTAGATATTTGCAATTTTCACCTTGAGATTTGAACATTGAATGTGATTTACCTCATTCACGTACAAATGCATTTGGAAACTTTTAATTTGTTCTTGTTAATGTTATTATGGGTTGTGTCAGCCCGATCAAATGCAAACGAACATGGCCCTGGATGTAGGGTTCGAATCTAATCAGCGCAACTTCATCTTTTCGGCCTTTTTTTAGGTTTTGTACACGGAATGACACGGTGGGTCCTTCAAGAATGCAAAATTCCAAGCAATTTTAGGCATATTTTCTCGTCCTTTCGGCTGTACTGTCTCTTCGTAACTTTCATTGGAACTGGGCGCTTACGTTCTCAGTTAACGGTCATAAATGGTATAAAAATGGGTCATCAAAATGGTCGCCATCTATCCGTTAAATGCATAGAACACCACTTGTAACCTATGGGCGCATAGCTACTTAAGACTTAATATGAATATCTGCCAGAATCCTCAAGAAATCCATATGACAAATTTGTTAATTCCGTTCACTGTTAAGCCTTCTTCTGCTTAATACTTCGTAAGCTTTGCAAATCACCTTACAATGAGGGACATCCAACATTCGGCCCAAGACGGATACAACCTTTTTGTCTCGTTTCTGAAAGCGCGCTGAGAATACACGGGGCAAATGTAAATTTTTCACTTTATATTCCGTGATTTTAATATTTTTTCAAAGGCTGGTGTTAACATCTTGTTCAAAAGCACACTTTAGAGACACAAGTTGATTCCTATGTGCCGCAAATAAATAGGCAAAACTGGCGCATCAGTAGGCTCCGTTGACGGACATGAACTAAATTAAAACGTATTACGTTTACACTAAATTCGGGTTCTTCTCCTTCACTACTTTTTAATGACAATGATACTCCTATCCACATCTGTGTAAAAGATCTTGTCTTACATATTGACCAAAGATTAAAATCAAAAGACCATATAAAATTTGGCTACTCTGTCGCGCGGTATAGTCGTCTATATTTTGTTTCGGTAATTAATATTTTAATTTCTTGTTGAATTTCGTGGCTATTTTGCCTTATACACTATAATAAATTTATAATACACTTTGAGAAGAAAGTGAGTGATTTCAAAGTAAAAGAAGTATTTTTTCTTTAAGCTTTGATTCATTGGGTTTTTGCAAACAAAAATTTGGGCTCCGATATAAATCTCTCTTTTTTTGTTTTTTTTTTTTTTCTTTCTTTTTCTCTGTTTATTTTTTCGGTGTTTGTAGTTTGTTTTGCTTTTGATCTCTTGTTACAGTGTCAACGTAACAGAGAAGTTTTGCTGAAATTGGTTGATAAATTTTTGTGTTGAGAATTTTTTTGCAATTTGTCTGTCTGTTCTTCATAATCCACTTCCGTCTTTTAGAATGGACATGGAGTGTTTATATACACCTTGTCGGGCGAAAACGGGCCCGGAATCTGAAAGATTCGTTTCGTGTTGGCTTTGCGATCGCTTTGGCCAAACAAGGTGTGCCGGTATTATCGGCCGTGCTGCTGATGCTGTCGTTGACCCCCGAAGGGATTGTGATGGTCATGTCCTGACTGTAGGAGGCGGGACGTAGACTTCTACAAATTGTTCACGGAGACGAGAAATATTTCTTTGAGTTAACTAAAAATCTAGGCGCCTTGTGGGAAAAGTTTCAGGTCATTAAGACTAGGTTTAATGAGTGTCATTTTATTGAGCACTCCTCTTCTTCCCAAGCAAGTAAAATCACAACTGGTAGCGTAGCGTGTGGTACGTCACCTCTAATTCCTCTTAAGTCCGACTTGTTGGTGCAAGTTAGCGCTTTCATAATGTCCTCAAAGGATGTCAACGTGATATGGCTGAGTCGGTCTGTAACAAAAATGTTGAAAATAAGCCGCGAAGTCCTTCTGGTTTAAGCTATGCTGAAGTGGCAAGTGTATCGCCTCCTAGTGGTGTCACTCACTCAACTCAGGCGTCATCGCCTAAAACTAATAAAGAGCAATATAAATCATCCTCTCTCCCCGTCTGTTCGAGTGTGAATGCTGGTCATCAAACTGAGCATGTCGCACAAGCTGCTCCATTGGTAACCCCATCTATATTCTCCCAAACTCAAAACTCCCCAGGCGTGCACCCTACTGCTCCCAACTGTAATGACATTTGCTTCACGGCAATTCCTCCCAGTTCCTTTCATCACAAGCATGATGGTTCGTTGAACCGTTTTAGTGTTCCAAATCCAACTTTTTCAAATAAATATTACGATTTTCATAAAATCATTATTGTATTGCTAAAATATCACCTTTCACGTGTAAGACTTGATTTCTCAACTGGAAGTATTGAAAGCTTGGCAAAGGCTCTGCTCTTGACTATTTCGCATATTCCGTGGCAAGGCATAGATTTAACTCCCTCAACCACCACTTTTATTGCAGATACCTTCAGTTCATTAAATCCTCTCTGTTCGCTAATCCTAAATACTTTCTTAAATTTGTTAATTCAAACAGAAAAATTTTCACGTGTCCCTTGCATGTTTCTTTTAATAGGTCTGATTCCTCGGATGATTTTGAAATCTCAAATCTGTTTGCTGAGTACTGATTTATCCGCAATCTACCCATATCCTATAACTAACTTCTGGTTTCAGTTCCTAATTTGTTTATTGTTGAAGATGATGTTTTTAAAGGCTTGAGCTCTCTAAAATATAGTTGTGCGCCTGGACCTGATGGAATTCCATCATGTGTACTTAAATCTTGCGCTGTCGAGTCTTTGAATTTAGGTATTTTCCCTTTGTATTAGAAGAGTAGTTTCCTTATTCCCATTCACAAAAGTGGAAGTAGACAACTTGTTGACAATTACAGGGGCATAGCCAAGTTGAGTGTCTTGCCTAAGCTGTTTGAACATCAATCTGAAACCGTCCTTCTTATCATTAATGCCCCGTGGGGTCGTAAGCACGACGTTGATTTTTTGTTTATGAAAAATCTAAATCAACGAATTTTTTCAAAATGCTTTGCCAGACTGAGTAATCACGTAAATGACTTGGCAGTACCTCTTTTGGATGAATCTAGTGAAATAAGAAGATTGAAAAGACATCGAATATTGCATCGATCTTCCATTTACAAACTAATTTAATTTTGTTCTTTGAATTATTTTAATAAATTTTCCAAATTTAGATAGTTTCTGTTTATATTAGAGAGAATAACCTCTGTTGTTTTTCTCTTCTTAATATAACGTTTACGTATTACCTTTTTGGATGAATTGTAAATTATATATGTAATTTATTTTGCACTTGTGGATAAGTGTGCATTAAGTTCTTGCGGACGTAAGCAACATCCAACAGGACTTTGCATAGATACACCTCTTATTATACCAGTCGATTAAAAACCGCAAACAGTCGATTCAGATTTCAAGATTTAAGCCTGTCCGTCTGTATGAACGTCTCGCTTTCTTGCATTCAACCTATAGGTGGCCATAATTTTTGAAATTTGATTTCATGTTTTGTCCTAAAGACGAGCTTTATTGAAAATGGTTTCGGGCCACTTTTTCGACCACAAAGCACGATAGCGCCTCATTTTTAATAGTGATCCGTATCTTACCATGGTTCATTCTAAATGGTTTTTATTGAAAAAGTATAAGAGAAGAGGGAACAGTAAAGTTTCTACAAAAATACCTGAAAAATTTGCAAGGCACTTGTTTTTTTTATTATTAATATTTCTCGACGATGTTTTCCTTACTACTACTGTTTGCGTGATTACATATTTATTGATGGTGTTGATTTTAGTAAGCAAATTAATTACAGAGTGAGTTAATTAAAAAACTTATACTCATAATAAACTTAAAAAATGAAAACGCTGTAGACGGCCAGAGAAACAGCCACGTAATGTTCTATATCACTAGATCTAAAAACGGTTGCAAGTCACGAATAAATGATTTGTGAAGATAAATTTGAACTAAGTCATAAGTAATTATACGAAAACTTAAATACCATAGTAATCAGTGAAGTGGAATAGTGGAGACTTAGTGAATATGTTCTGGCGAATTTTTCCGTAAAATTAGTTTAACTAAATGTGAAGAAGTTTCCTCCGTGTGGATTCAAAAGATGAATCTTAGAGCTCTATGATCAATCAATAATTGTAATAGGCTACTTAAACTCTATTAAAAGCTGATTTACATAAGCCGTTAGATTATTACCTAAAAAATTTTTACAAATATATGATATTAGGGTGCGCCATAAGTTTCTTCCTTTTTTTTTGATGCGAAATCAATAGACGACATATCCCGTCTTAATTAAATGATTATGTACCATCGTCCTGGGAATGTTAATGGCATCCACTATGTCGCGCCTACTATATCGCGAATTTTCAGCGAGCATACTCTTGATGAGGTCGCTGCTTGATCTTGATCCGTCGTTGCTGGGCGTGCGCTGGGGTATTCACCTCTCAAATCTAAATTGCCAGCTCTAAACTTTTTAAACCAATTGAAGAGGTTTGCAAAAGTCAAAATAAGAGTCCTATAAACGGTACAATTTTCGTCTGCAGTGTACTTTATTCTACTACCTTTTTTTAAAGCAATAACAAGCCGCAAATGCTTCTTTTGGCTATTCATATTGAACGGTCCAGAAAAAGATTTAAAAGAACACTTTGTCACCAACATGCCTACATGTTTACAAAAGTAGCCGAGGTCGTAGCGTGGCGGGAAAAGCGTGAAAAGCCTTAGGCGAGCGGCACCTCTATATATAAATATTGCTATGGATATCTTAAATCCAGCTCATTCCAACTAATTAGTGTTCCCAAATAATAAATTCTCTAGAGACGGGAAAACCAAGTGCACATTCGCAGACGCGTCATGCAGCTGCCAGCCAAGGAAAACGATTACCGGGAAAGCAGGTTAACCGATTGAAAATGAAGCCATGAAATTAGCTAATAGTAATATGCTCGTAAAAATGTATATAAATAGAATATTTACGGAAGGCAAAGTGAATCGGACAAGAATATTTGAGTTGAGAGTACTGCCAAAATAAATCGTGAATAGTCCTACTGTTAAGGAATATAATTGTGAATAAAAGAACTTGAAAGTGTATTTCTTTTGAGAAAAATATCCACGGTCTAGTGGTACGAGTCCTATCTTAGAAAAGTAAAATACGTAACAATATTATCATAGAAAATCCGGACGTTAACGAATTCCGACTTCTTTCACTCATGCGATAACAATAAGGTCTTTATATGACTTCTTGTTACAGAGAATTGCCAATTTATTTACATATGTTGGCAGATGTCATTCATTCGAAACTATTACACTGACAGCAAAACAACCAAAGATATGAAAAGTGTGTAATATAACAAAAATTGTAAGAATAAGCATTAAAAGGGCTTTGCTTGTTGAGCAGCTTATTGCAAGTAGTTAGAAAACCTTCGCAATATTAAACCGGAATATTAAATATTTTAAAATGGTATATGGTTGCTGTACAGTAGCCATGTTTCAATCTTGGTGGCGATAGAAAGTACATAAACAATTAAGTGCCCGCTTTTATTTGTCTCCAGAACAATCGCGGATGGCTATTATTCATACGAAGTCGACTTTGTCCATAGTTTTGTAGCAACAGATTCACACTTGCATTGTTTTGTGTTATGGCTTACTTAGCATTGAACTATTATTAGACAGAAAATTTGCGGTTTATCAGGCGAATATACCCGTTTTACTAACCCTCTAATGGGAGGAATTAGGTCGACTTACGTCTAGCTTAGTATACAAAAAACTGGGTGAACTAAAGTTTAACTAAAGTTTGTTCCTTTTAGTTAATGGAAACTCTCAGAGAGTAAAAGTTTTTCTTGTATATCTTTACTGATACATTCAATTAGAAACGAATAAGATTACAAAAACATGCAAAGACATTATGGGGAAATATTTTTCTTCTAAAGAACGAGAGCATGCTGAAACAGTACATGGGAAAGAAACATAAAAAAACTGGCGCACTGTCCTTTTGGAAAAATTACACGTCTCCGATATGAAATGTTTAACAAGACAGCCAAGCAAAGGCGTGTTTCCTATAGTAAAAGTTGCAGTAATGACAAATACTGCAATAAATTTGGAAACAGTTTATTTTTTGAATATTGATTCCAAAATTGATATAAATATTTTCAGAGTTCAATTTCTTCCTGTTTTGGGAAGATGACAAACATTTTAGAATTAGTTTCGCTATACTAAGTATAGTTAGGAAAAAGAGCGACATAGCGATCGCCATATATTGATCCTCGTGAAAATTTTGTCAAATTCCACAATCTATATATAGCAGAATTTATAGGAAAAGATGTTCTAGCTGGGGGACGAGGCGAAGAGTTATGGTGCTGTAGCGACTTACAAATTGGTATTGAGCCGAACTATGCAAACTAAACTTTGTCTTGAATCGTACAGAGTGTTTTACTAAGTGTTGTGGTGGTATAGGTTATAAAAAGTGCTTGAAACGATTATTACATAAAATAGAAAAAGGGATTTTAATAAATTAAACAAGTTTCAGGATATGGTTACAAAAAAATTGAAACAAAAAAAGTTTTTTTAACGATACCAATAAAATAGAATCTGTGAGCTCCTTGTCGTACTGCAAAGATATTCATATCCATAAAAAAACAAACAAACAAGAAAGAGAAAAAAATAGAAAAAACAATTCATTCATTATATGAATCATTTTTTTTTTTTTTTGCTAAAGAAATTAAAAATCTTTCGAAAAAGAAAAATTTTAAAAATTGAAAATCATAATAAAAAGCTTTATTGTATTTACAAAGATTTTTGAAATGTATCGACCATCGCTAAACATACATTTTCAATAAAAAATGGGGAATAAAAGCTTTAAGCCTTAGCCCGAGGAAAAATCGGAAATATAATATTATGAATAAAATATATCTAGATATAGAGGTGAAGGATATGTCTTTCTTCCAATTATAAAATGATGTGTTAAAAAATGAAAATTCTGGCAAATGTGCTTCTCAATATAAAAACAAAGGCTACAAGAAAAGCTTACCGCTATTTTTAACATGATCCTTTTCTGTCGAAAATATATTCGATTGCATGTGATTTTTAACAGCGCGTGGTGTTTGAGGCATATCACCGCCAAAAATGTCACTTGTACCCCCACCGGGAGGTCTCAAGACCCTAAAATGAAAGGAGACAGCAAACAAAATACATAAATTTATAAATATAATAATAAGTAATTAAGAGAAGGTCGCTATTGAAGCGAACCGCCGATGCACGCCACCAAACTGCATGAAACTCGTTTCACTTTTTATGAGTGAGACTGATTGAGAGACCGATTATAAGTAAGCTACTTTCCGCATAATATTTCATAATCATATTAATTCGAATTTTTTTTTTTTTAATTTTTACAATTTTTTTAAAATCCCTTTCGTTTTCCTTTTTTTATTCCTCTCTTAAGTATATGTGAAGAAGTCAAACGAATTTTTCAACCTCAATATTCACAAACCAGCTAAAAGTGAGTTTTTACCTTTTTTTATTAAATATTTGCACTTTACGAATTTTATTAGCAGAAATGCGTTCTTATCAAATGAGGAAAGCAGAAGAAATGCATTCTTAAGAAATGAGAAAATTGTATGCATAACTATAAGCACATAGAGCCATCAGGTTTACGGGATCCTCTTTACTATACATATTAAAAAATCAATACAATGATTAACAATTTATATTTTAAAACATTACCCATCGCTAGCTATATGGACTTTATATCCATGATATAACGATGATCTCAACAAAACACATTATGGCTATGGATATAATACGCTATATGGAGTTGAAGATGTTACTGCTGGAATAAAATAACAACATAAGTAATATTTAAACACATATTTAACCAGAAGCTGAATGCATATATCTTTATGTATATGTTTATAGTCACGTAAAACTAAATCCAAGAAACGCATTTTCCAACTTTTAGTTCGCTAAAATAAATATTTATTTAAGAATGTATTTAAAGAAAATGTTTTTTCCTGCATGTTAGTCTCACACTAATGTCTTCCATCTATTTTATTATTTTTATAAAAGACTTGTTCGGGAAAACTGACTCCCGCCATAGCTAATGTAGACTTGTCGCAGTCCAGGTTCCAAGCTTTAATACTTATATAAAACCTGTTATAAACAAAAATACAATTTCGTTGCGGTCCCGATTTTTCCCACATTGTGCTGTGTCATCGGAAAACATGAAAAAAAATGCAGCATGACCGATATATGGGCACAGGGAACGTCACTTAGGAATTTCAGCATTGACATGGGAACGCAAGTTATTTGAAAACTTGCGATAATTTGTTTATCATCGTGCTTTTTCTCTGATTGCGGTCTTACCCCATTCCCAGTTTTCTAACAAAAAAGTGAAACATTGCTTCGAAATGTTTGGAGGGTGAAAGATTTCTGTGTTGGTTTTTGACTTATCTTGGAAAATGTATGCAGGCAGACAGTTAAGTCAACTGAGTATTTTCGGGATCATAGCTCCTATAAATCTAAGACGCTCTTCATTTTTGAAATTTAAGAAATTGTGTAAAATTGACATTTGTGCTCAAAATCTTCATAAGAAAGCTGTATAGTTGCAAAGGGTATAGAAATTGTTGAAATTTATTACAAAAATAATGAATCCAATTGGACTGCGTTCCGTGCATTCAGGAGTAGAACCCGGTTTCGCTTAAGTCAGTTCGCAAATGACAAATACTTTACGTCCGTAAATATCGACACTTTTGTGAGGTTTGTTTGTAATTGGATTTTGGCTTTTTGAAAGCGGCGATGATGGTGCTTATCACTGCCAATGGAGAACCCTACATAAACATTCAAACATAGTAGAAATTTTTTACGCTGCAATCTAATGAAATTCATGGGTGAATAACACACAAATAAAAGTGTAACAAAGTCATTAACCAAATAAAACTATTGTAAAAAAAATTTTTTTTTTTTATTGTTTTGTTTGCTCTTCTTTTTGATTTCCATTTGATTTTTAAAAATCTTCTTTTCCAAGTGTTTCCGGTATGATAACTAATATTCTTAGTGTTCTGCTCAAGGGATGTAGAATACCAAAAAATTCACAGAAGGTCGCAACAGCAATTTGATATTTACGTGCGCTTACCATAAAATCGTTCGGCAACTCTGCTCCCAACATGACGGTGGTTTTAACTTCCATTTAATAATATTAATAACTTTGGTGAAACTGTGTTCTTCCGTTAATAGAACCAACTAGGATTGATTTGGAATCAAGACAAATGAGAACACTATAACGGGCGGCGACCACAAATTAAATACCCTATACCATCATATTGCAGTTATTCATATAACCACTTTTTAAAATAAGACTTTATATGGGAAGTTCACGAGAAAGTTGTCTGATCCAAACCATTTTCAACAGCTTTCGCCCTTTGGCTAAAACATTTCAACTTACTATGACGATCTTTAGACTGAACACAAGAATATAACACGGGCTTACTTATAGGTGTCCTTACATCCATTCAGAAAGTGATACTTAATCGATCCATATCAACAAAAGCGGAGGTATATCTCAGGTTTGGCTGAAAGTTGTATACATCCGCATAAACTAAATACACTGTCGTGCGACAGGTGGCATAGGGGATATTATATTAAGTGGCAGTGATACAAAAAAGTATATAATATTGTTGAAAGTGAATTTATGTAAATATTAACAACAAAAGCGCAGATGTGAGGCGTTAGTGCTGGGAATGCTTTCAATAAAATTAAACAGCGACTTATTGTTAACAGCACATCATCAGTTTGTTTAACAAACAGCCCTTTAATGCTAATAAAGCGAAGCAGATATATAGCGATGCGGCTGGTGAATAAGGCGTCGGAACAAATCACAACATCAACGACATAAATAGTGAATTTCAAAACACTAATCAATAACAACAATGATAACAACTTTACAAACAAATACTTACAGCAACAATTGCAACTACGAACAGATGTTAGTGGTTTAAGTCTTAGAATTTGTTTCTCTGGTTAAATTAATAATAATAATAATGATATAAATAAGTATAACGACGGCAACAATAAGCAACTAGAATCAACATCAATTATAGCAACAATTAAGTGCTCTAAACATCAGAAATAGCAATAAAATAGGAAGTTCTGTTAACGTTTATTACAACGAATACGACAGCAGCAGGTGCAACATCCAACAGCCGCAGCAATAATAATCATAGCTTTAACAGCTTATATTTAATTACTTTCTTCTTATATATGATTATTAACGCATACTGAATTATTATTAAAGATGTTATCGCTTTTTATTAATCTGTAATCTCCTTTCCGCCCAGGGACTATCTTTATCATAATTGGGCGTCCAAATCTAGTTTACACAGGTTTACTATACGCTGACTTTGGGAGTGTATTGCTTACGACAATTATAGGGAACTCCCGGCAGGGGCCATTAATTGGTCGCGCACACTTCCAAGAACATTGCTTTCGATGCAAATTGGAGATAGTTATCAATCAGGCGTATTTTAGCATCCGCGCCTCTGAGAAAATAGGTTTTTCAAAACTTGCTCCGGTTATTGATATACAGCATGTCGAATTTGATATTTCTATTCGTATCTGTCTCTCTCTCTCAATTTTGTCAGCTTCCCGTCTGTGCTTGCAGCCTGTTTTAATTTGTGGTTAAAGGATATGAAAAATACTGTAGAAGTTTTTCTATCCGCGATTATATGAGATGCTCGATTGCCAGAAGGAAATTCTCTCAATTCAGCAGCGAGTCTTATTCATGGTCTTTCTTAAGGTCAAATATATTCTCTTAGGTAAACTAACGTGAAACGTCCAAAGATGATTTAAAACTTTTCTGCTAAATTCTTTCAACTTAATTCTAACTTCTTTAGTTTTAATAGTTTCCACACTCTCCCAAACACAACAAATAATATCTTAATCCCTAAATCATCCCATATTTTCATTTTAGTTGAAAAGTAAAACTTTTTTTAAAAACTCTTTATTTCGAATATAGCGCTATAATTTCTGGACCATTCTTTAAAAATAATGAAAGTCAATATATACGCGTTTCAGCTTTTTCATGCTTTACGTTCAATAAATGTACGCATTATTGAAGATATGCCACTTCAACTGTCGTCTACATTGATTATTATTGAAAGTCGTTTTGTGACTTTATTTGCACGTCAAACGGCTTTAATTATTCGTTAGATTCTTTTCTGTTAAGATTCGGCAACCTCATGGGATGAGAAAGAAATGTGCTTTCCGTTATATTGAAGGAGCAAATCAAAACTTAGTCTTATGCTTTTTTCTATTCAACTCTTCGCTGCGTTGTATTATCTACGAAACAGGTAATGAAGTTCAGTAAGATTATTCATAAAGTCTGCATATGGATAGCAAAATAAAAAAAAAAGTTTTTTTTCAAAATATTAAAATATGGAAACAGTGGAGCCAATCTCGACTTCAATTTAAGGTGCCTTGCGGACCATATGGTATTTGGTGCATATTAGAACAAGAAAAAACGTCATTTTATGTACAAAATTATAACATAACTAGTACAGTAAGTTAGCCGATTTTAGAGTAATTGACGGCTGGTGGAAAGATAGTTCAATTTATGATTAAAAATTAATATATAGAAAAAAATTTGAACGAATGAATAGCGAGTGGCCAAACCATGTTTAAAGTTTTAAAATTTATTAAAGAGCTGCTTTTCGGGTTATAATAAACGTTTGCTTTATTTTTTCCTTTAGCCTGCAATTCCAAGACGATATATAACTGTCCTTCAACATCCTTGCTCACTCGTTTAGATGTTTCCACTCATTCTGCTTTGCTGAATATTTTTTGGTGGAGTTTTTATCGTATTTGCTAAACGACAGAGAACACTGTAACAAAACGTATAATTCTTTAAGCGATTCAAAATTATCAGGTAAGAAAATTGTATTCGGTCTTGATCGAAGCTTTCATAAACACCATCATGATTCTAAAAAAAAATAGTAGAACTTTATGAGTAACGCAAAAAACAAGAACAGCAAAAGTGTTTACAGTTTCTGTTACATGGACGTGTGGGTTTTGTAGGCGTGTTCTTTGAGAAGTTCAGGTCACTTGGAAATTCTTTTGCATATTTGTAGGTAAGATCTTTACTTTTTGGAATCGGAGAATATCTATCACAA